TTGCTCCTAGTAGCGATGCCCTTTGCTCCTAGTAGCGTCCTTTGCTCTTAGTAGCAATGCCCTTTGCTCCTAGTAGCGTCCTTTGCTCCCAGTAGCGACGCTAACCATAAGGCCATAAGGATAAAGAGAATTTGATGAAGAAAGTTGTGGAAAGGTGGACGCACCGGTCACCTAACAAGCAGCGCAGCCGTTTCACCTGCGACGTAGTCGAATGGCTTAGGCCTTAAATGGCCGCGGGAAAACACATGAGATCGCCTCACCAAGCCATCAGTGCAAAAAGCTAGCTTCTTCAGTTCATTCTCTTCTTTTTGTTGCACTGATGGTCCGCGGTGAAAAAAGGTGACCAAGGTGTGCGCCTCTTTCATGAGAGGCTTGCGAACATTGGGCAGTTCGCGGAGGTCTTCTGTTGCCTCCAACTTTCGCCAATGAAGGCCCAACACATTTTCAAATCTTCCAAAAGAAGTTCTGTACGGGTAGGTTTCCTTCTGAAACCTGGGCTCAGGTGAGCGGAAGCTTCGGGCTCCCTTGCAAACATGTGCGGACACTTCATCGCTCAAAAGGTGCCAGCCGGGTGTTTCGGCTAGCTTGGCTACCTTCGCAAACAAAGGGTCATCTGACCCAAAAGGAACTCCTAAGTCGCTCCTCAGGTGCACTTGTTCACTTGGCTTCAGCTTGGCAGCTTTTCCTTTCGAGCTTTGCTTGACGAAAGCAGGGGAGTAGGTGACACACCATTCATTGGCCTCCAAGACCCGGTGCAACTGACTGTAGTCCATGGGCTTGGTACCGCAGTCAATGATCATGTTCTCAGTGCTCGTCCAGCGGAGAGAGGTGTTGCACCTGCTAAGCATAGTTCTGATCCATGCTATTGTGAAGGCCAAGCTCTTCTGAGAGCCATAGCTTGGCGTGTCGCTGCAGCTTTTATCGTACGCATCCTTTGCGTCGGTTACTGTCATCATCGGCACCGCATCGGTGCTCAGATCAAAAGGCTTTCGGTCCAAGGGATGGCCAAAAGCTTCTGCCAGCACTCCCCGGCAGTATTGGCCGGTGTCCATGGCTTCTTCGATGCCCAGGAGCTCTGCTGCGAACGTGGAGCGGCAGACTCTTTGAAGTCGATGGGATCTGGCATCGAGGATCGTGAAGCGACCCTTCTTTCCAGCCATGAGGTTGGCATCTGCAATCATCACCAGGTAAGCCGCTTGGCTGTAGACCTTCTTCAAAGGTTCTCCTTCAGCACTGCCACTTTTCAGCACATTGCCGAGACTGGCATCTGAGACCACGAGGATGCCTGCACCTTTCAAGTCCATAGGCTTGAATTGGAGGGCAAAGTCTGCGTGCTGCTTCATTTGGCGAAGAAGCAGGTTGGCTCGTTGCAAGGTGCCAATCGTAGGAGCTTCTCCTTGAAGTGACGAGAGCTGGAATCCGCAATCGATGCGAAGTTGGGCTACCAACCATTGCAACGATCCCAAGATTGCTCGGAGCTGTTTGTGTTCTCCTGGATTGAGCTGCGAGGAGAGATCCTTTTTGCGCTCTTGTGAAATGCGCACTGGCTGAAGGTTCTGGTGGTATTCTTTCATCGTGACCTTGATGGACTTGTCGGGCAGCTGTTCGATATGTTTTCCGCAGTAGGTGAAGCTACCTTCAGAGATGGCTCCAAAGCCCAGTTCTTCTCCAAGAGAACTGAGGGTCTCTTTTGCCCGAGCGTTGCCGGCTAGCAGGAGGTCGTCAACGTGGGAGACCATCATTCCTTCAAGGCATGCTCCATCAGCACTCCAGAGGAACCATAGGGCATTGTCCAGTGTGGAGATGCGCCATCCTCTTTTGGTGACTGCCTTGTTCAGCCTTTTGTACCATCGACGAGGGCTGTCAGCAAGGCCGAAGACTCCTTTCCTCACCCGGCAAAGGCCATTTGGCGCAAAGGGCAAAAGAGGTTCATCCTTTGCTTTGGCTCGGATGTTGGCCAGGTAGAGGACTCTTTCATTGGGGCCAAACTCTTCACCTTTCATGAATGCGGACTTGATGTCGGCTGACCACAAAGACCATTTCATTGATGCCGCAAAGGTCAGCAGCAAATGCTGAGAGGTCCGACTGGCAGTCGGAGCATCACACCTGATGCCATAGGCCTCAACATCTGCATAGCCAGGTACGACCAGGCGAGCATTTGCCAGCAGCGGAAGCTGATTCTGCTGTGTCCTCAGGCCATCGTTCTTGTCCACATAGACAAATCTTGGAACGAGGATGCGATGGCTTTGACCTTCAGCTTTCAACCGCGTTCTGATTCTTGCGGCCTCTTCGTCCGGCAAAATCTCGACTGCATCATTGTCGGTCCAGACTGACCATCCTTTCGCTGCGGCTTTTCTGAACTCACCCTTCTCATCTTCAGTCATGGAGGTCCAAGGTCGCTCTTTGCGAGCGGTGAGGACTGCGAGGACTTCTCTGGAGGCGTCTTCATTGCCGAGCGGCCAGAGTTGTCGTAGTTCTTGGCGACGTTTGAACTCAGTCCTCGAGGGCATAGGCCAGTTTCCTCTCCATGTTCCGTGGTCTGGAACTTTGGCTTCCATCGGATTGTGATGGTCCAGGATTGCTTGAGCCTGGATTTGACGAAGAGGGTGCACTTCAGCATAGGCCATTGCTTCCATGACTTCATGAGACATAACCAAAGCATCGTGGGCCATAGACGAGGGCCTTGGCTCGGTAGGCGTTGGAGTTGAAGCAGGAGGTTCTTCATGAGCAATTCTTTTAGCAGCTCCTTCAACATCAGCTGGAGCTGCATCTGCTGGCCTCTTCACACTGCCAGTGGCGGTGTCCAGTGAGGTCTGTCTTGGCATCCGTTGTGCCCAGGCTTGACGAACTGCTTCAGGGAAGGGTGATTGAGCCACAGTTGACTCAGGCAGCGATGACGTCATTCTTGACCAAGCAGGCTGACTTGATTCAGGCCTTGGCTCCAAGGCTCGCACCATCTCTTGAGGGTGTACTGGAGGAAGATCGAGAGGATTGTCTTCTGGTTCGGCTTCACGTTCTCGATCTTCAGGAGGCTCCGTGGGTTCGTATTCCTCAAGTGCAGAAGCAGGTGCAGCTTTTGGAGGTTCTATCTTGGGTTGAGGCTTCACCATCTCTTGGTCATGGCAGGCAGCGTCCACCACTTCTTGAATTGCATCCTCCCAAACTGAGCTTGCCACTTGTTCGAGTGTGCTGGCCGGCCGAAGGTGTTCGAGAGCACATTTGGACAATTGGCCACGATAGCTGACATAGCCGTTGTTGGGCTCGAGGGCAACGAGTAAGGCCGGTCCGTGCCATCTGCTCAGCTTCTTCTTGGAGGCTGCTGTCTTGTTGTTGTACTTGGACTGTCTGTAAAAATAGACTATGCTGCCTGGTTCCAAACCTTGCATGGAAGTCACCGTAGATGATCTTGATCTCGCCACTTCAGCTTTTCTCAGCCCTCTGGAAAAATGAAGGCGCAGCATTGCCAAGCGCGCTGTTTCGCGCATTGCCACTTGTCTGGCAAGACTCGGAGAGGATGAGATGAGGGAGTGTTCGGCGAGTCGACGACCGAAATCTCCAAGGCAGTCGCCGTGCATCCGTGGTTGGCGGCCAAATGCCGCTTGACATGGAGAGACGCCTGCATCGGTGACATCTGCATTGTAGCTCATCACGGCTTCTTGAAGAGCCGTTTCCATTTCCTCTTTTCCCAAGACACTGTGGGCCTTGATGATTGATCTCGCAAGGGCTTTGAGCACCGCCCCACCTCTCTCACAAATCCCATTCTGCCAAGGAGCTTGAATGGCGGTGTGGTGCAAGTAGATGGAGCGTTTGCTGCAGAAACTCTCAAATGCATGGGACACGAACTCCTTGCCCTGGTCTGCGACAATGACACGAGGGGGTCCCAGGATTGGCAGCCACTTTTGCGCCATGAATCGCTCCACATTTTCACTGCTCTTGTGCTCGAGGGCCTCAGCCATTTGAAACCGTGAAGTGGCGTCAATGGCATGGATGACGTAGAAGCGCCTTTCCTCGATGTCAAAGAGCTCAAAGATGTCCAAATGGACTTGATCGCCTGTGTCTTTTGGCGATGGCAGCGATGCTGGGCGCCGAGCTTTTGGAGCTTTTTGTTCATTGCATACAGCACAGTGAAAACGCCGTGCCGCATGAACCACTTGTGGAGGTGCTCCGGCAACTTGTAATGCTCGGGCTAGTCGTTTTGGAGAGCGGTGGCCGGTATTCTCATGAAGTCTCCTCAAGGCTTGTTTGACACCTTGGGAGATTTTGTGAGGCTCTTCAAACTGAACTTCTCCTCCAGGTTCTGAACCGCTGTCATCAGAGTCAGGCTGCAGATCCATAGGGGCTTCTTCTTCATTTTCGAGGTTTTCACCTTCTATGGCCAACGTGGAGTGCGGCTTCTTGAAGTCATACTCGAACTGTCGTTCCATTCCTCTCACGAGCGCTAGGGCCAGCGCCCAAGGGTATTGTCCCGCTCGTCGACTGATGGAGGTTCCACCAATCACATGGGCGTGGTCGTGATCGCCCAGACACTTCACGCCGTCGAGCTCCGCAATGACATAGTCGCTTGAGGTGGCTATGCGAGTAGCCTTTCGATGAGGCTGGCCATGAACATCGGTGAGCTTGAATCTGCATTGGTGGAAGTCCACCGTTCGCGCCTGAAGATCTTCTAAGGCTCTGACCATTTCCTTGAGGGTCCATGCTCGAGAACTTTGAGGGTTCTCAAGGACAAAGTGGTGGCCACGGCCTCGTTGATCTTTTGCAAGTTGGACAGCGAACCTCAACAAGGTGGTGGCTTCTTTGAGGCGCTTTTCATAGTCCTTTGGTGGGTTCAGGTTCAGCAAAATGCTCCAGAACGTGCAAGGGAAGGCCAGGATCAGGAAGTAGGGCATTTCCTCGGCGATGAGCTTTCTTGCAGCTCGACGATCAAGCAGCCGTGTGAAATCCCATCCGGACTCCAAGGATAGCGAAGATCCGACTTTGTGGCCTCGCTTTCTCGCTGACTTGGCCACCCGTTCCGTAGTGGTGTACACCTCGGAGACAAGGGCCTTGGGCATCACAGACTGGGCCTGGTCATTCACAGTCTTGACGTCATTCGACTGCACTTCATTGGCCTCAGACAGCTTGTTGGAAAAATCGAGAACGAGGGAGGTCACAAACACTTCCTGCTGGTACTTTTCAAGGTCGTGGTTCCATTCCTCTTGAAAGATCTCATTCACTTCCTTGTAGCCCAGCGAGACCAGCTTGCGATCGCGCTCATGTCGTTTCCAAGCTTGGGCTATCAACTGAGCTTGTCCAGGTTTGACGTCCTGGTGGATCCTCCAAGGGTTGGATGCAAGTTCTGGCTTCACTGATCCCGTGGAGGGATCCCATTTGCCAGACGCCATTCCGCGTCTTGCTGGTAGTAGTCCCGGTTCATCTCTTGGATCTCTGCCTGGGACCAGCCGTGTTGTTCTTCGGGTGCGCTCTGGATCATGGCTGTATCCAGGATCTGACCGCTCAGCGGTAGGCCAACTGCTCCAGGAGTCATCATGCGCTGGAAGAAAACGTTGTTCTTGCTGAGCCAGGAGCTGCTGTACCTCGGCCGCTGTCAGACTGGGCTCGGAAGGCTTGGTAGGCATTGGAGTGCCTTGTGACTGGTAGGCGCCCGTAGGGCTTGGAGCCTTGGCTGAGGTGCGCTGATCCGTTGAACTCAGGGACGTTGAAGGCTTGGGCTTTGATGGACTCTTGACCGTCAACTCGTTGACCATTGGGCGACATAGATTCTTCAACTCGTCGTTGGTCATCTTGGCTTCGACCGGAATGTTGAACAGTGCGGCCAGTTTCACCAGGTCGGCCTTGAGAGAGGGAAGACCGCCACGAGGCCCGATGAGGGAGCGCACTGCTTCCAACTGCTCGCCCTTTTTGGTCACCTCTGCCGCCTCTGCTTGGGCCTCCTTGATGGCCTCTCTTTTCAACTGTTGGTTCATGCCCTTGACACTCCTGGCGGCCATCATGCCCTGCAACAGGTGGTCCTCCATGAAGGCGAACTCGAGGCCAAGGCGATTCCTGAACTGCGACAGCTCGTGGAGGTTCTGTGTCGTGAAGGCCTTGAAATGGATCGCCCGTTGATGATGCTGTTGAGGCAAGGCTCTTGGCTTTTGCCTCCACATGGAGACCGACTGCTGTTCCCATTGTTGCGTGTGGGAGATGCTGGGGTATGGCAAAGGAGCGTAGCGCAGATACGGCCGTGGAAATAGCCACAAGAGCTGCCCATGGGCGTGCCATTGAGCTTTTGCGCGAAGCCTTAGGATGAGGCGGCGCCATCGGAGCACTTGACTGCCGTACTCGCCGACTGTCAGGTCGTGGATCTCGGGAGCCTGCATAGGAGGCTTGGTGTCCGGCTGAGGGCTCAGACACTGAACTTGTAGGCGAAGTTGTCGAAGGAGCGATGCGAGCTTGAGCCACCTGCATAGCTTGAGCCCCAGCGGTCATGGCGGCCTTGATGCCATGCTCCGTCATCAAATGCTCATGTGGTGCAACTGCAGCATGAAAACCATCAAAATGACTCAACCGAAAACGAAGCTGCTTGGACCACCAATCCATGCTATTTAGCTGAAGCTCAATGACACCATCCTGACCCATCTTCCTCCAGCGTTGAGGGCCCGGACATGGCCATGTTGCTGGCTGCAGGCTGAGGCAGAAATGACCTGCTGTGAGCTGACCGAGGTCGATCATCTCGCCGTTCACGAGGTCGGCTCGAAGCTTCCTTCTTCCAAAACTCAAAACTGCACCGATCCCGCTGAGGAAATCGCGGCCCAAAAGCAAACCAAGGGAGGCTACAGGAACAATGCTCACCCACACCAACACCATAGAAGACCCAACCATCATGGGGAGTCGATACCGAATGGTGCTGCGCTGTGTGCCCCCATTGCCAAAGCGAAACAGCTCGTCTTCTTCCACCGTCTGGATGAGCTGCCGAACCGCTTTGGGTGCCTTCTCTAAGGCTTGCAAATAAAAGGACAGCCAAACATTGCCAGCACAGGTTCGGTTGCATGCTGAGTCAAGGGCTCCGACGAAGCGCTTGTCGGTTGCCAAGGTGGGAGTGTGCTCTGACTTCAAAGCCTCTTGCAGGCTGTGTGCAAACAACGAGTCATGGGTGGCCATCATGACCTCATTGGCGTTTCCGCCTTCATGTGCATCATCTTCCGGAGGGAGATGCTCCGTGTTCAAGGTCTCAGCCACCCTCACCTGCTTGATGGAGGGTGGATTTCCTTTGGCTTTGCCTTTTGGCTTGCCAAGACCCATGCCGGGTTTGGTGCATCCGGCATCGCCGGCCCAATGGCCTGGTTCACCACAGTCGAAGCATCTGGTGTTGGCCTTTTGCTTCGGGACTTGGTTTCCATGAGGCTTTGACTTCATCGTCATTGAACCAGCTTTGCCATAGCCTCGGTCTTTCTTGACCTCTTGAATCTTTGTTCTTGCCTCTCTCATCGTCACGAGGCTTTCTGCTGCTTGCTCCATGCCCGCTTCAAGCTCATCGAGCATTTGAGGATCGCAGCCTTGGTCTTCAAGATCTTGGAGCTCTGAAGCAAGTTGTTCCGCTTCAGCTTGCAACACTTCCTCAATGGAGGTTGGTCCTCGGCCATCATCATCGGGAACCAATTCTTCTTCTTCATCAACTTCAGCCACCAAGGCCTCTTCTTCATTTGGCATCTCTGCCACATATGCTTGGCGTTGAGGAGGTTGGCCTTGGTTGTTTCCAAACTTCCTGAAAGGTGGCTTGTTACCACCATAGGAGCTTTGAGTTCTGAAGGACCTCACTGAGGATGGTGTCATAGAGCTCGCTGAGGTGCTTGAGGATCGATATGAAGAAGCAGGACCGGTTTGAGACTGCAAGAAACGCTGGAGCAAGGGAGCTTTCTCCGGTTGTCGAGACTTGTGGAGCGGATCAGCTGTGTGCAGATCTCTGAAGAGCCTCAAACATTCCGTCTCCACGAGGTCGTAGGCTTCCTTGCCAGCTAGTGCGGTCTCCAGGAGCTGCTTTCTGATGGGATCTAATCCCAGGCGCTCTTTGAGCATCCATCCAAGCTCTTCTTCGTGAAGATGAATGCCTTCTCTCTTGAGCTCGGCGGCCAAGGTCCTGTATCTCGTACAGAATGCCGAGATTCTTTCTCCAGGATGCCTTTTGATCTCCTGGTAGTATTGCGCTCTGAGCTCTCCTTTGCGGTCGAGGGCTGACTTTCCAACTGTAGCTTCGAGGGCGCTCATCAACTTCTCAAGTCCTGCAAAGGGGTTGGCTTCCACCCTGATGATCTTCTCCCCGGTGTCGGGGTCCTCCATGCTGTCTTCCTTGACCCCCTCTAAGTCTGAGGGGTCCGAACTCTTCGCACCGGGCACGGACCACGCCGTGCTGCCGCAGCGCCCACTTGGCTGCTATGTTGAACTTCTTGCATTGCTCCGGGTCAAGCGAAGCCATCCACCAGCTCATCTCACGGCGGAAGCTCCGCCATTCCGAGGGGTTGCCATTCCATGTCGGGACTCTGTACCACGACGAGGTCCCGCTGTCCTCACCGTCAGGCATGGTGGGCCAAAATGGCCAAAACAACAAAGGCAACTGGCTCCTCCAGCGTGAGGAGCTCCAAAAACAGTCCAAAGGCGTCCCAAGGCAATGGACGCTCCAGAAAACAAAGGTTGAAGTTCGGCTCAAAGGTCAAGAGCTCGTGCAAAAAGGGGCCAAAAGCCAAAAGTGGAGGCGCGGCGACCTCAGGTGCAAGGCGGTCCTCAAAAGGACCTCCAAGGTCGGCCCCGCAGGGGCCAAGGACGTGGAAGAGGTAGAGTCCGCAGAGGCCAACTACCGAAAAGACAGGGACGATCCGAACGGAGAGGATGTAGCCAAAAGAAAAGGAAGATGCCGAAGCGCAGCTAGCGGAGTGCGGCGGCCTGGAAGGCACTCAGGCTCCGGTGCCACTGTGGAAAGGTGGACGCACCGGTCACCTAACAAGCAGCGCAGCCGTTTCACCTGCGACGTAGTCGAATGGCTTAGGCCTTAAATGGCCGCGGGAAAACACATGAGATCACCTCACCAAGCCATCAGTGCAAAAAGCTAGCTTCTTCAAAAGTATTGGCCTGTTGATTCATCGCGAATGTCTCTTTCCGAGGGGCCGACGGGCCAAAACATGAGCTAAAAGACTGTCATTCATTGTCTTCTTGAGTTACTAATATTCTTTTGAGTGACGAATAGCGATGGCCTCCACCCTACTAGCGATGGTCTTCCTTGTGTCTTCATGAATGCATTTCTTTGTCCCAAGACGGTCCCAAATCTGGCCTTCCTGGAGGGACAAGGCTTGTCTCCGCCAGGCCAAATGCGGACCAATGAGGCTAACCTGGGCACAACGATCTCATACGACTCACATCCAAAAAGGGATCATTGGGTTTTTGTCTCCTCTATCTCGGGCAGAGCTTTTCTCCTGAGGTCCTTCTGCGCAGGGAGCTCTTGAATTCATATTCTCACTTCGTCTTACACAAAAGAGCATGTCATGCAGCTACTAAGCTACTATTGAGCCGCCTTCGGGCTACCTTTGAGCCCTTCTACTTCTCGGGCATGTTTCGTCGTATGGGTTTGTGCAAAGGCGTAGGGTGGCCTGTGGGCCACGATCTTCTCTCCGCCCCAACGTTTTGAGGCTCGGCCGGCACCAACTCCAACACATTCATCTGCGCACCTCCACCACCGGTGATGTCCCCTCCGAAGAAAGTGCCATCGGCCACGGTAATCGAATATGCATCCCAGGCCGGCGTATTGATCGTTCCCCACGCACTCACTGGATCCCCGAGGGAGGTCACTGACTCGGGATACTTGTACGAACCTGGCTGACCTGTGAAGTCACTATCAGCGTACTGCCAATAAGTCACTGCATTCACCCCTTCATCCACCGCTTTGGCCAAGTAGTTCGCGAAGCTCTGAGCACTGCCTTCCCAAAACTCGCTGAAGAAAATGGGAGGCCGGCCTAACTTGATGGCGTTCTTCTTCGCAAGGTCAATGACTTCTATGAAGCTGGAAGTAGAAGGTGGAATGTAGTAGTGGAAAGACAAGAGGAGGCGATTCTGTTGCGCATATGCCTGGAAGCGCTGCATGGCCTTGGTTGAAGTGCCTGCACAAGCTAGCAGGGAGACAAAGCAAGACTCCCCTTCAACTGTGCTACTCCAATTGGCAATGGCAATGGGGCATTTGATGGAAGGATCTTTGTCCAGTTCCTCCATGACATCTGCCTGGAAGGACAGAATCTGCCTCCAAATCGTCCCCGTAATGCACAGATTGGGCAGGCCGCCGATGATCGGCTCATTCATCAGTTCCACTGCCACCACGTTCTCGTACTTGTCCCATAAACTACAAAGGAATTTGGCGAAGGCCACAAAGGGCTCAAAAAACACGGCCCTGTCTGCGGCATTGTTTGCAGAGTTGTAGAGCCGAGGTACTAAATTTTGGACTTGTGCTGAGGTGATCAGTGAACCCCATTTGTTGTCCGTATTGTTCATTCGGATGCTTGCATTTCCAACATTCATCAAGGCAGGGTTGCCTTCCCCTCCAACAGCATAGGGTTTCCAAGGATCTGGATCTCCACTGTAAGTGTGAATCCCCAGGCAACAGCACAGGTCTGCCAGCCAATTGCAACCCAAGAAGCACTTCAAAGGATGGTTTGGGTTCACCAGGTAAGATGTGCGACATGTCTCTGGGCAGGAAGACCATGTGCCCGCAAAGCAACAGCAACAGCAGCACTGCTCACAGCAGCCTCACAACTTGGCATGGGTCTACTAAGCCAACCACCCGGCTAAGCGCAAAAGGAACTCATGTACAATGGCCTAATAGCAGTGGCCTCCAACCTAAAGCGACGGCCTCCAACCTAAGAGCGATAATTGGATCACATCAAAATAGAGTCAAACATGACTACTCTTTCTGATCCAAGCAACAGCCTGCTCGGTTTTGAAAATCTTCCATGACCCAGTATGGGTAGCCTTCACCTCCATTAGTGGTGGCTGCGGCATCTTGGTGCATATCCAGAAAAACATAGACGCCCTCATCTTTGAAGGCTCGGATGACAGCCTCGAGCTTGGATGCATAGCTGGGATCGATGTCAGTGCCTCTCTTTGGTATTGCAGCTTCCATCAAGACTCCCAAACGCACGCATGGTACCACTGGTCTTGGAGTACCGTCCGCTGTGGGTGGGGGAGTATAGGCCATCGCCTTGGCTCCTTGTGCCATGGCCTTGGCATTCTTCTGAACAATGTCCAAGGGTGGGAAGTATGGCGCTGCCTTCACCACATAGCTTGGAGGTCATCGCTATTAAGTTGGAGGTCTTCGCTATTAGGTTGGAGGCCATCGTTATTAGGTTGGAGGCCATCGTTATTAGGTTGGAGGCCATCGTTAT